TTTTTGGGTAATAATGATCAAGACCACTTAATTACTAGACTTAAAAAAAAATGTGTAGTATAGCAAGATCTAAATACAAGCCCCTGCCAGTAGTTTGTTAGTATGTTATCTGGAGGAACTGAATAAGCAACATTACAATGTTGCCATTTGTGTGATGACAGTAAACATTTATAGCAATCACTGTTTTATATACAGAAAACTTTACCTTTCTTGATTAATTATCTAGGACCAGCAACTGGAAATGTTTACTGGCCCTGAGATACAAAAAAAAGTTGTAGACAGACCTGTTAAAAGCCTCCGAGTTAAGATAAAAGACAACCAGGTGGATATCATGGTGGGTATCCAATATAAAGGAGAATTTACATGATAGGGCTGTGCAAAGCTTCAGGTGCCAATTCGATTCATAGGAGATTCAGTAGCCAAATCTCCAAATCCAAATTAAATTGGGGATGATCTAATCAGCAACCTAAAGGTCGAAGGAAATCTGGGAAACAGTGACCACGAGCTGATCGCTTTTACTATTCACTGAAAGCTGACAAGTCAGTCAGCAATGCAGAAGTCCTCGACTTTAGGAAAGCTGACTTTGATTAGCTCAGGAGTCTTGTTGTCAAGGCGCTAAGGGACCAAGACTCGGCAGGGTCAGGAGTCCAAGAAGTAAAGGGAGCGATCCTGGAAGCACAAGGGTTGTCCATCCCATCTCGGAGGAGAGATAGCAAAAGGGCATAGCAACCCCCTGGGCTCAGCAGGGAACTCGTGAACCTCCTATGCCAAAAAAAGAGAGGTTTATAAAGGATAGAAGATGGGAATCACCACAAAGGAGGATTACGCTGCACTGGTCCATACCTGTAGGGAGTGAACCAGGAAGGTCAAGGCTGCAACCAAACTCCACCTGGCTACACACATCAAGGACAATAAAAAGTCCTTTCTTAGATATGTGGGGAGTCAGAAGAAAAGCAAGGGTAACATTGGACCTTTGCTAAACCAAATGGGACAACTGACAACCGACACCCAGGTTTTTCATCAACCCAAAGGATCTGCCCTGCCTAGCAAGGTGTGGGACAGCCAGGGTGAGGGTGAATTTATACCCAGCATCAGTGTAGACCTTGTAGAGAAATACCTTGAGAGGCTGGACACCTTCAAGTCAGCAGGTCCTGAAAGATTGTACCTCAGAGTACTGAAGGAGCTGGCAGGAGTCATAGCCCAGCCACTGGCAAAGATTTTCGAAAACTCCTGGAGTTCAGCTAAAGTACCCGAAGACTGGAAGAAGGCCAATGTGGTGCCCATCTTCAAGAAAGGGAGGAAAATAGAGCCAGGGAACTACAGGCCAGTCAGCTTGACCTCAATCCCTGATAAGATTCTGGAGAAAATCATCATAGAGCGCATTCCTGATAAGCTGGCTGATGGCAACATCCTGAAGGACAGCCAGCATGGGATTGCTGCAGGTAGGTCTTGCCTGACCAATTTCATCTCCTTCTATGACCAGGTGACACATCACCTGGACAAGAGAGGAAAGATTGATATCATATCTGGGCTTTAAAAAAGCCTTTGATCCAGTGTCCCACGATCTCCTCTTGGAAAAATTGGCCAACTGTGGTCTTGGCTACATCACAGTCCATTGGCTGGGGAACTGGCTCTGAGGCCAGACTCAGAAAGTGGTGGTCAAGGGAAGCGAACCATCATGGCACTCCATGGCCAGTGGTGTCCCCCAAGTCTCTGTCCTTGGACCTGTTCTCTTTAATATCTTTTGTCAATGACATGGATACAGGTGTCAGAAGTGGACCGACCAAGTTTGCCAATGACACCAAACTTTGGGGTAGAGCATCCACACCAGAGGATAGGCTGGTGATCCAGGCTGACCTGGATAGACTGAAAAAGTGGGCAGATACAAACCTGATGACTTCCAATACTGACAAATGTAAGGCACTCCACCTCAGGGGAAAAAAACCCCGCAGCACGTTTATAGGCTTGGCAGTGCTACGCTCGCTAGCACCAAGGCCAAAAGAGACTTGGGGGTCATGACTGACCACAGGATGAATATGAACCACCAATGTGATGTCACGGTTGGCAAAGCATACCAAACTCTGGCTTGCATCCATAGATGCTTCTCAAGTAGATCTCAGGATGTCATCCTCCCACTGTACTCGGCCTTGATGATGCCGCAGCAAGAGTACTGCATCCAATTCTGGGCTCCACAATTCAGGAGGGATGTGGAAAAGCTTGAGAGAGTCCAGAGGAGAGCCATGTGCATGATCAAAGGGCAGGAGAATAGGTTTTATGAAGAGAGGCTGAGAGCCATTGGACTCTTCAGCCTGGAAAAGCACAGACCCAAGGGTGACCTGGTGACACCTTATAAGCACATCATGGGTGTACATCAGGATCTGGGGGAATGTCTGTTCACCAGAGCGCACCAAGGGATGACAAGGACCAATAGTCACAAATTCCTCCAAGACCATTTTAGGCTGGACATAAGGAAAAACTTCTTACTGTCCAAACCCCCAAAGCCTGAAGTAGTCTCCCTCCAGAGGTGGTGCAAGCACCTACTCTGGATTCCTTTAGGAAGCATTTTGGGGCTCCATCTTGCTGGGATCTTTTGACCCTAGCTGACTTCCTGCCCTTGGGGCAGGGGGCTGGACTCGATCTCCCAAGGTCCCTTCCAGCCCTAATGTCTATGAAATCTATGAAATCAAGAAACCAATAAAAAGGTCCGAATAGATTCAAAGGCTCCGAAACTATTTGGAAAAGATTCAGAGATCCAGCAATTCGGGCAGTTCCTGCTTGCCACCACAACGAGCTGGAGTCTGACTCCATGCTGGTAAGTAGGGGGTGCGGGGAGGAAGCTGGAGGAGGGGGGAAGGGGCTGCCCAGCCCCAGCCAGGTCCCCATCCCCCGCCTGGCCCCAGCCTCCTGGCACTTGGCCGCCTCTGAAACGTTTTGGATGGTTTCAATTCGTCCCAGAGATGTTTTGGAGCCTTCTGTTTCATTTCAGATTTGGTGAAACAGCTGCCAAAATTTTGCACAGCCCTAGCACACACTTCAAAAGGTAGAAGCCTTTGACTGGAAGGATTATCTTCAAAAATTGATATCCACCACCCTCAAATAGGGTAAGTGAGAGAATCTCTTTCTGGAGTACCTGAGAGCTAAGGATATTAGGTTAATGGTATGCAGTGGGGCTCAACTTGTGGCCCACAGGCCAGATCCAGCCCACAGAGCTCTCCGCAAGCCTGGAAATTTGGTGGCAGGAGAGCAGTGGCAGCATCAATTGCTCAGGGAGCTGCAGCAATTAATGGAGCTCATGGGGGAGCAGTGGACTGGACTGGTCCCCCATGAAAAAAAAACATACTGGACTTCAGAAAAGCAGACTTCAACAAACTCAGAATGGCTGTGTAGGTTTCCATGGGAGGAAATTCCATGAGGAAAAAGAGTCCAGCATAGTTTAATGTTCCCTAGACAAACAATATTAAGGACTCTTCAAGGACCTAAAACTTGAAAAGGAATCTCATAAAAATTATCAACTTGGATATATTAAGGATGAGTATAAGAGTGTATCATTGGCATGTACAGAGAAAAATCAAGGCCTAGGCACATGACAGAGCTAGTAAGAGATATAAAAGTCAACAAAACATAGCCTACATAGTGGATCAGAAGTTAAAGAAATACCAAGAAAATTGTGGATCCCTTACTGAATGGGGAGGGGAATCTAATAATGGACAGTGCAAAGAAAGCTGAAGTGTTTAATGATTTCACTCATTCTTTACAAAAAAAAGGCAGCTGTCAGATGAAAAATGCAGTAGCAAGGTTCAAGGAAGAGATAATTAGCCTAGAGAAGGGGAAGAACAGATTAGATGTTATTTAAACAAGCTGGATGTTTTCAAATGAACAGAGTCAGATAAGATGCCTCCTACAACATGCATGGAATTGGCTGATGTAACTGCTGAGCCACTTGCTATTATCTTTGAGAAATAATGGAGGTCAAGTAAGGTCCCAGAAGAATAGAAAAGGGCAAATACTGTGCCCATCCTTAAAAAGAGAACAGGAAAACCCAGAGAATTAGAAACCAGTCAATCTAACTTTCATAGTACCTTCTATTCTTTTGGAGTATTTCAAAGGACTAAAGAGGATAAACAAGAGGACAAGGAACATCCAATATAGTTTTGTCAGGAGCAAATTATGTTTAACCAACCTAATTACCTTGTGGCAAGATGGGCTTAGTGGATGGCAGTCAGCTATTCCCTGCGTCCACAAGGAACAAGGCAAGAAGTAATGGTCATAAATTTCTGTAAGGAAACTTCAGGTTGGATATTAGGAAGAACTTTCTAATTGTGAGGGTGATTTAAGCAGTGGAACAGATTAGCTAGCATGGTTGTGGAATCCCCAGCAGTGGAATTTTCTAAGTGAAGGTTAGACAAAAGCTTGGCTGGGATGATTTAGCCAGAGATATTCCTGCTTTGACCAGGAAGATGTACTAAATTACCTACTAAGGTCCCTTCCAAGCCTATGCCTCTCTGAAAATATCTACAATTAAATATAAAACTGAATGTTGTTTTGCAAAGTTTTAGCACCCCATGTAACAGGAATCACTAAAATTAGAAATTAATTCTTGCTACCATTTGAAGAATAAAAATTTCATCTTGCAGATTTTACAAGCACTAGCATCTCCTTCTATGGGAAATACCATCAGCTAAAACCACATTGGAATGAAATGGGAGAAGAATGCTGCAAGTATAAAATCTGGTATTTCATAATCTGCCAAAGTGAAATACTGGAAATAGCATCACAATATTTTTTTAACAAAGGGTGCTTGTTAAGAGTTAGATTTCATAAACAGACCTACTCTGGTCCATGTTAAGCAGTGCTTTTCTAACACTGGTTCCTACAATTTCTCCAGTTCATACAAAGAAATATTCTTTGGGTCACCCAACCCACCATTTGTTGAAATGAAGAATACCAAATACAAAAATACATAGTTTTAAGAAAAAGCACAACCGAATGTTTTTTCCTACCTGCAAAAACTTTTTTACATCAGCAATTATGTCTCTGAAGATGAGCTGATCTTTTTGAACCTCAAACCATCCTAATTTTGTAATCTTAGCAATGACCTGAACAAGAGCTTGGATCACAAAAGGAGCCAGTTTGGGTTGAGATGCTACGTAGTTCAGAATGTAATTCCCTGTAAAGAAGCAATCTCAGTCAACAATTATTTTAAAACATATACTTGAACCATTTTAACAAAATGTGGGAACATAGGGCACATTATGCAAAAAGAGTTTGTGTTTAATGCTTAGTATAAACAGATACTTCTTTTAACAAATGTAAGCCATGAAAAAATATTCAATACATTTGAGCTGTTGGGAGTATAGTGCAAATTATGTATGTAATAATCATTCTTGTATAGATATAAAAACAGTTTGTAATCTCCAAGAATGCTGACAAGTTAAACATTTTAATCATCCGTTCTATCCCACATACGAGACATCAATTACTCTGCCTCAAATACTACTACAGCCCTCAATTACATGCATTAATGAAGCAAATTAACAAGTCTGATTTTTAGTGTCTATTTAGGGGTTTTTTTAGTTCTGTCCACACATATTACCTACGACAATAAACTTCTCAGATACGGAAACTCCTATCGTAGCAGAGAGGAATTTCCCAGGCAAATAAAAGACATTTAATTTATTACATATAAGTTTATTTTTACCCAAGGGAAAAACGCACTTACACTGAAATTAGTAAGCAGCCCCTGGCCACTCAGGGAAATCCCCACCCAGCTGGGGGCTGGCTAGGAGCTGCCCCAGAGGCGGAACACTTCCCTGTCCAGCCCCCAGCTGCACAGGGAAGCTCTGCTGGGAAAGGGGCTTGTTCCCATGTGCATAGGGCTGGGAGAGCTCTTCCACCCCCATATGCATCAGGACCCCTCCCAATGCATACAGGGCAAGGAGCCAGCCCTGTGCTTCCTGCCAGCACTCAAGCTAGCACCCCAGGGGAGTCTGGAGCTCCCCCAAGCTGTTGCAGGGGGTCAGAGCAAGGTAGAAGCAGCCCTGTCCCAGGGTGCTCTAGTTGGTAGCAGATTTGCTCTCAACAGGGAGCATGTGTAAACGTGTTCCCAGGAAAGGCTACTTCACAGTATTTTACTGCACTGTAAGCCTTTATAGCGTTAATAGCACACGTAGACATGCCCACAGAAGTGATCGCTCCTCTAACTTGCTTATTACCATTGTCAAACCCTAATCAGAAGGAAAAATGTAGTAACGTAGTGAAAGATGAGTTCACTGATACTGTCTGAAGTTGTTTTTTTTGTTATCGTGCAAGCCATTTTACAAGCATTAACTAAGCTTACCTACCTCATATGTAATGACAGAACTATTATTATTGTGTGTGTTATATTGAAGGGAAACTAGATGCTTAGTAAAATGCTCCCACATGCACCGGAACATGCTACACGCCTAAAGAATGCAACATTCCCTTCCATCCCTAGTCAGCCCATTCCATCAAATAATGACCTAACCAGGCACAGCACAAGTCCCATTATATCAGCCCCAACACAGGAACAAAGCATATCAAAAAATGGGCCCTGTGCTTTTTCCCTTAACCAAGTCCTCTGCCTTTCATCTCATAAAATGAAGAAAGGAATTAATTAAGCTTTCAAATTCCAGCAGAAACTTACTGCTCTGGTCATTTGTTATTTTTTTTTTTAGTTTTCAGTCCAGCAATTTTTTCCATTGGGAAAATGTTATTTGGCAGTTAACAGAAGAGAATAAATGCAGAATTTCACAGTCATCTTTAAAAATAAATTTCTCACTATAAATGCAATTTAAAATGCAGATAAACTGACAGAAGTAGAAGGTAAGTGAAATATTTGTCAAATAGTAACTATGTTGATATTCAGTTTTAAAATATAAATTATTTTTTTCCTTTTCTTTTTTAAATAGCAAGAACAAGAGCTACTTACTGATGTCAATCCTTTGTTCAACGGGTAAAGGAGTCGTTCTGCTCACAAGTTTAGAGAGGCATGTTGCCGCTAGAAGCTGAGCGTAGGATGTCTACATAAAAAAAAAAAACCAAAACACACCAGACCGTTTTATTAAAAAAGTACCATGACAACTGGAAGAAAGATGGCTAGTCACAATACTGCCTGTCTGTCAATTTTGACTATACATTTGATATACTAAAAACTTAACATTATTATGTTTTAATTATCTTTGGCTTTAAATCATTCTGTTTTGCCTTACTAAAACATGACTGTCATAGCCATGATTTAAGCCTAGGGAATTCTGGATTCAAAGGTTTTTATTTGGGTCTTTTTAAATATCCACTCTTTTTTATTCAAGGATTTCTGCAGATGAGGGTAATAAGCTATCATATCAGTGAGATGTATCACATCAGTAATAAAGAAAATAAACAACTCCTTAAGCATGCAGTAACATAAAGGATATAACAGATCTTTCCAAGGGATTACCCAAATACCATATTTACTTGTGTAACTGCTGTGCTCATGTCCTACTGACAGCCCTGAATTTGCCTCAGAATTTTGAAGAATAAGTTACCTGTGTATTGGCCACATGCAAATGTCTACATAAATCAATTCAAAAGGTATTCCTCTTAAAAGAATGAACCACACTTACATAGGAAACCCATGTCATGCAGTACCATAGTTCTGTTCTGCGTTGTTTTGTCTGTAAAACCATACAAGATTGGGGCAGTACAGACCCTATACTGCTAGACTCAAACTAAAAGTTAACATATGGAACACAAGTAGCAGGACATGAACCTGAAGGGGAAAACGTTCAACATCATTGCAAGCAGAAACAAGAGAGGGGAAAAACAAAATGAGCAAAATGCATCTTCAGAGGACTGAAGTACAACTCTCATAAAATAGAATCTGAAATTCTGAAATATATATTAGATAAATGAAACTTGGGGTATACTGTTTCTCTAGATATGCTCTAGAAAAAAGCCCAAGAAATTTCTTGCAGCTAAAATTTTATGCACCAGCCATTCAAAGCAGCTTATAGTGCAAAAAGCAAAACAACCTTGTAATCCACTGGAAAATGACTGTCTCAGAGGAATATGAAAAAACAATAAGACCTATCAGATTTCAGAGACATATCCTCTCCAAAAAGATTAGCAATAGCTACCAGCTCAGGTATTCAGCAGACCAAACACCTAAGTGTTTTGGCATCCTGGAAAAGCACTATTAATTCAGTAGAAGGAAGAACTAGAGCTGCATGTACAACAGGTGTAGAACAACAAAGATTTAGTCATCTTGGGGAATTACCTCCAACGGACATGAGTTTCTGTTGTACGTACTCTTCAAAAGAAAAACTTTACCTAAGGAAAAGGTCCCAGCCAGAATAACAGTGCAAATTCAAGAAAAAGGCTGGATGACCAAACAGCTCACTGTCAAATGGATTAGAAGCAGGTTGTCAAGACGTGCAGGAAATTTCTTGAAGCACACGTGTGGCCTGTACTACGCAGCTTCCAGGGGCAGTTAACTAATAAGTTAAGAGTTGGTTGCAGGCAGCATGCACCAACCTAGACATCATTTCGAAGGGGATTACCAGTACACTGCAACCTTGAAGGTTTCAAATCAACAAACTATTCAAGACACCATTTTGCCTTGCTACCTCAAATAGATCACAACGAATGACAGAAAGTAAACACCAACTGAGAATCTGAACAAAGTGTCATTTGCAGAGGTCTGCCAGTGGATCCTTATGCCATGGTACTTGGCTTCTTCTGAAATTGTCAAGAAGAATTTCAGGCTTAGTGGAATCTCCAACAAAATGGGCAGAGCAGAAGAAAATCTCATTTACAATGACACCACGTGAGATGATGATGATAACAATTCTCATAGCATGGACAACACAGGCAGAGAAATGCAAGAATAAAGACATTATCTGCAGGCAGATTAAATAACTGGTGTTTGATATTTTCTCAAAAGTAACAGAAGCAGAAATTTTGGTTAGAAAATGTCACTTATTGCTGTTAATTTCTTAAGAAAACAATATAGATAATCAAAAGAAGAATAGCTTTTGTTTCAGTGTTGATACTTCTTCAGTCTTACTCTAGAGTGCATAATAGCTACACTGTTGTTTTTGGCAGAAAAAATAAATCAGGAAAACAGGCATATTATGCAAAGACATATGATATGTTAATGATTGCCAGACAATGGATGTGTCCTGCATGATTACCTGAAATCATCATGGTTCTGAAACACAGTGACAATAAAGGACTGAGCATGACTTCAATCAAGGCTGTGTCCCCATCACCTTTTTATCTGACAAAATATGACTAAAAATGTGAAAGTAACTACTACAAAATAAGTTACATACTGCTAAAAGACATTGATATTTAACTAGTAATATGAAACTGTAGTTTACAACTTTTCACACCATTTTTACTATTTGCTCATTAAAAGTAGAAGTCAAAAGAACATGGGGGGGTCTAAAACCATAAAAATACTTAAGGATGCCATATTGTGGTCCAAAACTGAGCTACAGATACATAGGGCTCCTTAAGTTTGAAGTTCCTAGATTTTTGAAGGTATTAGACCCATAGTCACTAGATACCATCTCCCCCCAGTTATTTTTCCTTCCCACTGTTTTGGGGCATTTGACAATAGGCATTATCACTCCCCTATCATTCACTTTTAAATACCAATTTGCATGTGCATTTTTGTTAACATTTTATTTTATGGGGGAAAAGCTGAATGTACTATAAGACAAGCTTCTCAATTTTATTACATTTATGCTAATATTATTTGTGCCTGCTATGTGAGGCTCTCCCAGCCAATAAAAAAGCATGTTTACATTCTCAGGTTGTACACTTCTCCCAGGTACTTACTGTTCCTCGTTCTAGTAAAAGTTGGCACTGGCTGAGACATTCGGGGCTGTCAATGAGTTCCAAGAGCACCTTCTCAGCTTGCATCCGCTGTGCTACATCAGTTCCCTCATAGAGGTGGTTACATAGTACTTCTAACTCTGCCAAACTCTGTTAAGGAAAAACAATAGCGATATCTCCCAACAGGCTTTTCACATGAGAAAGCCTCTTGAAAATTCACAGGACTGGCTATTTCTAAATACCAATCCATATGCAGCAATATTAAATATTACCCTATGTTAAGCTTCACAGAAAAATATAACCAAACCACCGCAGTTTGTTTTCAACTCAGGTATTCAATGACTTTAAAAGAATTTCTAAAAGTGGCAGAGACTCAAATGAAATGTCTATGCAAGAGACACAAAGAACATTGACTAGTCAGGACTAAGATGGAAGTAACTGTCCCAGTGATCAGAATTAGGTGACATAACACACAAGTCTTTTATTGTGGATTACTTCTAATTTAGGACATAAAACAGAAATGACATGTCTGTCCAAGTTGTAAAATCATTAAAAACTGTATTCTTATCTCTGTCATTTAGTGTAAGTCCTTACCAATAGCCAATTGGAACTGTACATCAAAAGTGCCAAAACACTGTTTAAAAACAGCACAACAGAAAGTTGCATGAATGCCTCTCGCCTCCCAAGGCTGGGGGGGCACAGCGACTGCCTGCTGGCAGCAGGGATGTGGCAGCAGCGAGCGGTGACCGCCCGCAGGCAGCTGTGGTGATATTGGCGGTGAGAGAGGGCCGAGTGGGGACTGCCCACAGATGGCTGGGGCAGTGTCAGCAGTGAGGGGGTGGCGACCACCCACAGATGCCACCAGTAGCGCCAGCAGCAGGGGCGAACGGGGTGGTGAGCAGCAACCGCCTGCCAACGCCACTGGCAATGGCAGCAGCGGCCAATCTCAGGGGGCGCACGTGCACCAGCATGCACCCCCTACGTGTCTCCAGTGGAATGTTGCAACCTTAAGTTATGATGGAGGGACCTAAACCAGGAAGTATCTGTCACAATATGCTAAAAGCAGTTATAACAAATGTAAGCCTCTATAACTTCTGATGCTGATGTGACGCATCACAAAGGGAAAGGGGTAGAAAGAATCAACTGGATATCCTTAAAAGACAATAAAACAGAGACTGAAGAATAAAGAGAAGTCTGTGCAAGACCATTAGTAAAGTCAGTAAGGCTATTCTCATGCTTTGAGTTAAGCATAGAAAAAAGTCTTTGAAAGATTAAGGGCTGCCAAGTCAATAAGTCAATAAAAAGCTTAACTGTATGTTCTAAAATGTTAACATGAGCTATGCAGCCCTGCAGGCTGGATGAGCAGTGCAGGGTAGACCTGCGCACATGGGATCAGTGCGCAGGATTGGTCCATGGGTGTGATCCAGCTGCAAAATACCCCCATGCAGCTGTCCAACTGCGTGCTCCTGGATCCAGATGCACACTGGCCTGACTCCATGTGTCCAGATCCAGTTGTGGTATGATTCCTACCATTGAGCTAATCTAATACATGAGGCCATGTCACCCAGCCTGCAGGGCTCCTCATAAATCCAAAAATTTAGTAGCAGGAGAGCAGCAATTAACACTGCCACAGCTCCCTTGCCACCAAATTCCTAGACCAGCTGGAAAAACCCACAGGCCAGGCGACACGGCTCCATGAGCTGAAGCTCCCTCAAAGGCCAAAGGGTTAAGCACCACTGATTGGGTATGATTCCTTTTACTTTAGTACTTTGAGTAATTATTGTAAATGAGAAAGTAAAATATACTTTACTTCCACTTACGATATAGGCAAGCAAGTTTCTCAGCTGGTAGTTCTTTGCAACTTTTTGCAAGGATTAACCAAAGAAAATGGTTCTGGCCATTAGTTTCAAAGATGTCCAGAATACTTGAACATACAGTTCCCAAGAATAGGACCTGGTTATCTTAATTTGCTAGGTGGCTCTGAATCTCTCAGCCACAAAGGATTCACTGACTCAGTGAAAGCTGAACCAAAAGGCTGACTTTGTGTCCTGACATAGTTGTTATCATTATGGGTGCTAGGTGTAACAAAGGGGCATAATGAGATGGTAAAGGCCAAAACATATAAATGGGTGTCAGAGAGGAAAAGAAATACACTCAACATGTTCCTGCACATCCTCCACTTAATCAAAAAAACCCTCAGTTGAAGATATACACAAATACATGCCCCCATCAAAAGCCTATAAAATTAAACAATCTTCACCAAAAATCCAACTTTTTTTCTCCTAAAAGCATGCACTCAAATATTCCTATAGGAATTGACTTGGTTCAACCACTGAAGAGTAAAGCCCACAAGAGGGCTTCAGTCCAGAAAATCTAAGCGATTCAATCAAGCAGCTGGGATACCAAAGATATAAGGTCTTTTGCTCCATTCTACCAGAAGCAATGCACTGGTTGCAGGACTTGAGGGTGTAAAACCTGGGAAAGATTAAGCATTTTCCAAACTGCATAATTTTTCTGACCAAATTATGGATACCTGCAGGGAGCAGTGCATCTTTTCTGAGGCTAAAACTCAGCTACCCCTCACTCCATCTCACCATTATGAGCTGCCCCCTGCCCTCCACTTTTTGTTGTTTATAAAAGAGGATGGGGGGAACAGTGCTGAAAGCAGTCCTTGACACCACTGTAACAAAGAAAGAAGATCCATGTGAGATCCATATGTAGAAGAGAACTTCTCTATGTAGAGCTGCAGGAAGATGCAACAGTGTTTAGACACAGATCAGCAATCTGTGGCTTGACAACCAGAGCTGGCCCCTGAAGATCTGACCCAATGCTGGGTATCAGGTAGCGTGCAGCTACCCCAAGCTACCTGTCCCCTCTGCAGCAGTACCCACTGTTCTCTTGTGCCTGTGCTTACTCTCAATGCAGAGGGGCTATCTGCCCGGAGGATAAGCACAGGCATCTTGCACTGGAGGAGGGAAGTAGTGGGGTAGGGAATGGGTGGGGATTTGCAACCTATGGCAGGCCAATGCTGGCCAATAGAAGCAAATGGTTACCACCCCCTGCCTAAAAATACAAGTTACAGTGTTCCTAGAATTTAGTATTTTAATTAAATTCAGCCAGGGCAAGCACAAAACCAGATTGTGCCACTCTTCCTCATGTCAAGATACCATCTTCCTCAATTAGACCTAACGCAACCAACAGGTCCACATTACAATATGAGTACCTTAAGTGGTATTCCCATTCTACTTATAGCAAATAACACGGATATCAATAAAGATACATTTTGACTGTTAAAATATTAAGTGAACCCACTACGGGTGTGTCCCGAGTGCTCAAGAGAAGGAAAAAAAAGTAATATCCTCACTAGAGAGGATATTCAAAGAAACTTTGAAACTTTCTTGACACACTAAAGCCTGAAGAAACTACTATGATTTGTTTATAAAGAATACAAATGCAGCAAAAATTTACCCTCCAAGCTATTATCTGTGCTGCACTTTTGAAATATCAATTATAAGAAGATCATTGTACAATACTGGTTGCTTTAAACAGCCTCAGGGGAAAGAATACCATCCTATCCATCTACCAACACAGCTGCTGGCAGAACTGAAGCAAATTTCACGCTACCTCAAAAGCAGCATGTTTATCCCAGGACTAGGTTGATTGTTTGTTATTTATCACCATTTCTAAACATAGAGGCTGTCACCACCCATTACTTCACTCCAGTAGTAATGCTGAAGCATAAAAGACTTGAGAACCATCTGAAAATGTAAACCAGCTATACCCAGCTCCTTCCCTCGTGCACTATGTACACCAGGGGTGGGCAATATGTGGCCCGCAGCTCACATGTGGCCCGCCAGGACATTCTACCTGGCCCGCGAGGCCTAAAAAATTTAGAAAATTTAATATTAATCTGCCTCTGGCTGCCTGTCACGTGGCCCTTGATGGCCTGCCAAAACTCAGTAAGCAGCCCTCCGCCCAAAATAATTGTCCGCCCCGATGTACACCCTCCCAGGGGCATTTCTAAAGATAACATTGTTGAAAACACGTAATTAAATGCCAAGAATTACAAACATATTACTGCCAATAAGCTCAAATTAATTTGTTCAAAGAAATTAAAGGTCTGTCTATACTGCAATCAAAGATGGGATCACAGCCCAGAGCCATACTGCAGCTACCTTAAAGCAACCTACAGTTTGAGTGTTAACAGCAGCAAAGATACAGTGGCACCAACTTGAGGGCAGGCTGTCTGGCTAAGGGAGCACTTGGGGTATGAGGAGAGCACATGCTGAAGTCTGCTGCACAGTTCCACATTAACTGGTACTTCAAGTGTACAAGGAATTGAGACCAGTGGTTCTCAACTTCGTTGGACTCAAGGCATCCCTTGCAAAATGCCAGCTCTTAGTTTTCACTTATCTTTTTGACTGCAGAAAAATAAGAAAGTAAGTCTTCTGTTGTGAAGAACTCATAAAGCCCACGTTGGGTCAGAATGATTTTAACATTATAGTTTCCTATTTGAAATCTCTGGGTTTTTTCCATGAATCATGTTTGCGTATCATCAGCAATCGTATGGCACCCTGGTAAAGAATCATTGAGCTACACTGAAGCCTGATAGCTGGTACCTGAGGTAGCTCATGTCCACACATGCTGCAATCCCATCTCCAGATGCAATGTAAATGCACGCCAAGAAATGCTAGGTGAAGCCCTTAAACCAAGGATGCGCAAAATGACAAATCCAGCCGGCAGTTAGACTCCATTTACCAACTGCCCCTGCCCACATGACTGGGGCCAGTCTCCATGGAGACCTCAGCTACCGCTGTGCTGTGAAAGCTCAGGGCTGGGGTTGCCATGGAGGCCAGCCCTAGCCACACTGGCAGGGTGCATGGCAGAACAGAACAGGGGGCTGCTCTAGAGCCACTAGGATCTTGCAATGGGGGCAGCTTGCTCTGGAGCCAGGGCAGAGCCATGATCTGAAGCCTGCACTCTCAGGGCAGGGGCACGCAGGCAGGGGATCACAGCTCTGCCACTGCTCTAGAACAGGCTGTGACCGCTGCAAGGAGCCGGGGCAGAGCCATGATCCCCTGCCTGAGCACTCCTGTCCGGAACATGTGCCCCAGGGATACAATCACAGGGGAACTAGAAACCCTCCCCACAGGGGGACCTGGGACAGGGGCCCCGAAATCA